GGAGAAGAAGGGGGGAGAAGAAGGGGGGAGAAGAAGAGGATGGGAAGAAGAAAAAACTGAAGATAGACGTCCAGACCTTGAGAGAATTGTTACTAAAAGAATAAAACAAAAAACAAAACAAAAATTCATACTGTCTGTTTTTTTTTAAATACACTGAAATCCCTAGAGGAGCGAGACAAGCATGTGCCCTCTCTCCCTATCTTTTTAACTTCTATACAGAGTTTATTTTTAGAGAATCTCAAGATCTGCAGGTAGGGATCACAATAGGGGGCCGCAACATTAATAACCTGAGATATGAAGCCGATACAGACTCTAGCTTGTAACCACGAAAGAAAATGTTTCTAAAATTGTGAAAATAGTAAAAGTGAACAGAAGCAAGGCAGGCCTTGACTTGAACGCCAAGAAAAAGACAAAAACGATGGTCGTATCAAAATCAACTGGAAAAACAACAGATACAACCCTAGATAGGGGCACCAATCACAGACGGCGGAAGAAGTGAAAAAGAAATAAACATAAGAACAGCAGTTAAATGCAAAAAAACAACATTCAACCAAATGAACAAACTTTTTCAAATTTAGGCAACTATCTCTCACCTTACGAAAGAAAATGCTGGAATGCTACATCTTCCTCATATATATTCCTATATGGCGCAGAGACCTGGACTTTCACAAAGAAAGAAGAAAACAAAATAGCTGCACTTGAGAAGAGTTGCTACTGTAGAATGGCCAGAATAAGTTGGAAAGCAAAAAAGACGAACAGAGAGGTGTGTCAGATTCTCCACACAAGACAAACTCTGCTGAATAAAATAAAGGTTGGGAAAATACAATATTATGGCCACTTGAAACGACACGAGACTATTGTGAAAGAGGTGCTTGAGGGAAGGATGTGGGGCAGGAGAGCCAGGGAAGGCAAAGAGTAACTTGGGTGGACTACATAAAAACATGGACTGGACTGGACATAGCAGAATGTGCAACGGCAGCTAGCGACCGTGAAGGATGGAGGCAGGCGTGGTTCGTCCATAGAGCACGGTCTCATTTACTATGCCCTTAACTAGCTTCAGCATGTGATAGCTTAATTGTGCACGTCCACTTTTTAGCCCCACGAGCCGCCCCTGGATGGAGGGTCAATACACGTTAACCTCTGAGTCAGAGATGACACCTCTAGAATTACCAGATCCACTCAGTTCCTAGTTTTGAGAAATTTGATGCCAAAATTTTCGAGTTTCACAACATGTCAAAATTTCTTAAAAAGCAATTCTTTGAATATCTTCTTGAGAACGACTCCAAATAATCTTACGGTTTTGACAGACCAGATAGAACAACATTTGGTTTCTGACGCCATGGTCTTACTAACTCAAAATGGCCAAAAATGTCAAATAGAACATTGAAATTCTAAGCTGTCCAGGCTGTTAAAACATCTTCCCTCTGAGATAAAAATCACACCATAAATATGCCAGTGTTTCTTTGAATTTCCATTCCATTTCGTAGGAACCTCCGTTTCTTGCGACTGAAACCCATTGCTTTCTTTAGTTTTAGTTTCATTTGCAACAAAAACAACACAATTAGGTCAAATGAATGCCGAAGACTAGAGGTGTTACAAGAGAGTAACGAGTAACGTACACAAAAAGGAATGAGGAGAGATAAGGACAATAGATATTCAAATTTGATAGGAAAGAAGGAGCAAGTTATACCAGATCACCCGCCCAACCACCCACACGACCAGTGCTCTTAAACTTAAAGTGATGTACACTAGTATTGCAAAACTGAAGTTAGTATAAGACAGCCCCTTTTTGTTTGTTCATTTGTTTGTCTGTTTGTTTGTTTCACTGGGTAAGAAAGAACAGCTCTTTACTTTTAAGCATTTATTCATAGGCCTACAAGAAATATTGCAGAATACTAAAAAATATATATATATGAGAGAGCATGGATGTACTGCCGACATTTAAGAAAAAAATACAGTATAATAATTAAACAGGTTTTACAATTTTACTGGAGAGCCAACCCCCCCCCCAAAAAAAAAAATATATATATAACAGAATAATGTTCTAGACAAGACTAATGGATTTCATACGACAAACATTTGAAGACTACCGGGAAAAAACGACGGTCGTCACAAACTGAAAATCGTGAGAGTACCAATTTTGAACACTTGTTGACTCATGTATTTCTGTTCAACTGTTGGTTGATTACTGTCGTTACATTTACCATTCAACACCACTTAACAATAAACCACCAGTCGAACAAATATGAAGTTATGAGTCCACAAGTATTTAAAATTGGCACCCTCACAATTTCCAGTTTGTGACTACCGTCGTTTTTCCCCTGTGCTCTTCGTTTGTGTTATGCTCCAAACGGTCTGTACACAAATACAAAATGTACAACACATTCTGCGCAAACACCTGAGCTGTTTGTTCTTTGTACACACCTTTATCTACTGCTCTGACTATCAGCAGACTCACAGCTTTCTGTGGCATGAGTATTACTAAATATTAGTGGTGTTAATAACGACGACAGCATTCTTGTTCACTTTTTACTTCTCGTAAAAATAAAACATTTATATTTAATTAAGCATTTACAGCTTCAGTCAGCATCACAAAGAAATAAAACGAGTCTATGTACATTTTTACAACAACAACAGCAGCAACAAGAACAACAACAACAACAGCACGATACCGAGTACCAACGAAAATGACAAATACTGCAACAACTGAGATGTAAACAATAACAACCACAGTAACAAATGTATATATAATATATA